TTTTTTTGTTGTTGTTGTTGCAGTTGTCATTCTTGTTTAGCTGGCCTTGACCAGGTTTGAACCCACCAGCCTAAGTGTATGTGGCCGACGCCCTACCCACTGAGCTATGGGCACTGCCCCAAGCTCTGTCTCTTAAAATGGAACTATATTGATTAGGCATCATATTTGTTTTCTTGGAATAGCCATTACATGGCTTTCCCTGCAGGAAAGAGACCTCTGAAACAATACCTTATGCAAGTGTTTGATCTGGATACCTGCCACCAAACTAGTAGGTTCTTCCTCAAAATAGTTGCTTTGAATGCTGCTATTGTCCTTGATATCTTCTTTTTCCTCTCTAATTCTTGGTTTCCCACACCAGTATGAGTGCTGTAAAGAAAGCACCAAAATAAGCATTAAGAAATGAAGCACTCTGTCTGAACAGATTTATAACATGTAATTGAACTAGTAATCAAAATATTCTTACAAAGAAAAGTACAAAACTAGATGGCTTTACTGGTGAGCTATAATAAATATTTAAATAAGAAATAACAAAGACTCCTTCTTTAACTTCTAAAAGTGTGAAAGAAAACTTTCCAACTCACTCTATTAGATCAACATTACCCTGATACCAAAGCCATGTAAAACATCATAAGGAAAGAAATTAGAGAAAGGTATTTGTAATATCCCTTATGAATATAGATGCCAAAATCTCTTCAACAAAATACTAGTGAACTAAATGGAATTTAGTAGAATATTAAAAGGATTATATACCACAAGAAAGTGGTGTTTTGTCCTAGAAATGCAAAGATGGTTTAATATATAAAAATCATGTAATATACCATATTAATAAATAAAGGGAAAAAAGCTGCATGATCATTTCATTTGAGGCAAGTAAAGTCCTTGACAAAAGTGATTCATGATAAAACATTCAGAAAATTAAGAATGAAAGAAAGATTTTTTAAAAATGATAAAGGGCCATTATAGGGAATTCCCCCAAAGTCAATATCACAGTCAACTGTGAAAGACTGAAAGCTTTCTCTCTAAAATCAGAAAAAGGTTGCTAGCTTTCAGCCCTGCTATTCACCATTGTACTAGAAGTTTTCTGCAGAGAAATGAGACAAGAAAAAGAAACACAAGGTAAGCAAATTGGAAAGGAAGTGGTAAAACTATTTAAAGATGATATGATCCCGCATTTAGAAAATCCCAAAGAATCTACTTCCACCACCATCACACACTACTGCAGCTAATAAATTCAGTAAAGAAGTGAGGTACACAATTAACATGCAAAAACCAGTGTGTTTCCATACATCTGGAATGAATAATCCAAAAATAAAACTAATAATTCCATTTGCAATAATATTTAAAACAATAAAATAAATAGGAATGAAGTTAACTAAGGAGGTGGAAGATTTATACACTGAAAACTATAAAACCTTCCTGAAAGAATTTGAGGAAGACCTAAATAAATAGAAAGTTCATGAATTGGAATACTTAATATGTCAATACTACCTAAGTCAGTCAACAGATTCAATACAATCCCTAACAAAATTGTAATGGCTATATATGCAGAAATTGAAAAGATGATACTAAAGCTCATATGGACTTTAAGGGTCCCTTAACAGCCAAAATAACCTTGAAAAAGAACAAAGTTGGATGACTTATCCTTTCAGATTTCCAAACTTACTTCATAGCCATAGTAGGCAAAATAGCAGCATACTGGCATAGAGATAGACATATAAGCCAATAGAATAAAATTGAGTATAAAGAAGGAAACCTATACATGTACTTTGACTTTCTTTAATGGTGTCAAGGACCATTCACTGGAGGACAGAACAATCTCTCTCTCTCTTTTCCTGGGGCTGGATTTGAACCTGCCACCTCTGGCATATGGGGCCAGCGTCCTACCCTTTTGAGCCACAGGCATCGCCTTCAGAACAGTCTCTTAAAGATTAGTGTCCAGACACAGGACATCCACATGCAAGAAAGTGAAGTCAGACCCCTACCTCACACCATATACAAGAATTAACTCAAAATGGATCAATGATCTAAAAACAAAAGCAGCTAAAGCTATAGAACTTTTAGAAGGAAAAAAGGGATAAATCTTCATGACTGTGGCTTTGACGATGATTTCTCATATATGACACCAAATGTACAAGCAACAAAAGAAAACATAGACAAATTAGATTTCATCAAAATTGAAAAGTTTTGTGCTTCAAAATATACTATCAAAAGAGTGAAAAGACAGCCCATAGAATGGGAGACAATATTTGCAAATTATATATCTAGTAAATATCCAGGCTATAGAAAAATCCCAATAGCTCACTTAAGAAACAGGCACAAAAGGTATTGAATAGACATTTCTCTAAATAAGATAAGAAAAAGGCCAACAAGCCCATGAAATGGTCTCAACATGACTAGTCCTCAGGAAATGCAAATAAAAACCACAATGAAATATCACTTAATACCAATGAGAATGGTTAAAACAAAAGAAAAAAGGAAAACAAAAAACATTGGCAAAAATGTAGAGCACTTATAACCCTGGGCATTCTAATTTTTTGTAGGAGTTTAACATAATACAGCCACTGTGGAACACAGTTTGATAGTTCTTCAAAACATTAAACACAGAATTATCATATGAACTAGCAGTTCTTTTTCTAGCTATATACCCAAAAGAATTGAAAATAGTATTCAAATAAATACTTCTATATAAATATTCATAGCAGCACTACCAATAATTGAAAATATAAAAGAATATATGTATATACACACACACACAAGAGGAAATATTATCAAAATAAAAAGGAATGAAGTAAATGCTGATGCATGCTACAACATGGATAAACCTCAAAAGCATTATGCTAAGTACAAGAAGTAAACATAGATGATCATTATATGACTGTATTTTATGAAATATCAAGATAGGTAAATCCATAGTAAAAGAAATCATATTAGTGGCATAGAACAGGGAAAAGTGGACTGTGACTTCTTCATGGATCAGGGCTTTATGTCTGGATGATAAAAATACTTTGCCAACTAGATAGAGATGAATATTGCACATTGCGAATGTACACAGTGAATGTATTAAATATCACAGACTTGGTTCACTTTAAAATAGCTAACCTTATGTTATGTGAATTTCCTCTCCATTAAAAAGTTTAAATGTGATAAATGTGATAAAGAAATAGGCTAAGAACTTGAAAACCCTTTGGCTTGGTTTACTTATGAGATGTAGAAAATGATAGTATACTCTCAGGGATTATATCTTGAAGCAAAATTATACAAGGTTTGAATCTCTAGCATTTAGAAGCAAAAACTGTTAACCTGCTAATGTTCAAGAAGTAGGGACAAAATAAAATTACTCAAAACTGAGGTCATGGCTAATGCCTTTAATCACACTTGCTCATAATATCTTCTTTGTACCATATATTATCCAGTAATTGTAAGGAAATGTGGAGGATGAGAGATAGATACTCTCCTGTTCCAAATCAAAGTGTAGTGAAGGGTATGTTAACAAGTTTGATGAAAGTATTTCAAATTGTATATAAAACCAGCACATTGTATCCCATAAATGCATTAATGTACACAGATATGATTTAATAAAAAAAAGTGGTGAAAACTCAGATATGGGAAGTACCTAATCCTCTACTCACTAGGATCTAAGAAACTATCACATATTAATGTAATCTAAACTCCTTTTGAAGACTTTTAGGTTTCTTTATCCTCCAATCTAGTCTTCTATGTACCATTTGGCTGTAGAGAGGGTCTATTAATAGTATTGACAATTTTTAATGTAGCGATTTCAGTGACTTATCCACAGATGTTGTACATCTGCAAGTACAGAAAGCTTTCAAGGATACCAGGAAATGGTATCAGTATAAATATATACTGAAATGTTTCAGTATAAACAAATTCTGCACCTGAACTTTTGATTTGATCTTAAGTACTATGAAATAGGTTAATAAGGACTATGGCCTTTTGCAATAACAGCAGTATGAAAACTCACCATAAGAAAAAAGTACCATGGTTGGGGCACACCATACGGTCCTGGAAAGACATTGTCTATATACCAGGTAGCTAGGCCGTACAAGAAAGCATCAAATAAAAGCATTCCAATCAGATAGCCAAAGACAAGGTTATCCTCAAGGGTGGCTGGTGTCCAAAAGTTATTCCATTTAATACCAGTCTCTGAAATGAAAAAGGGGATGTTTACCACAGATGAAATCTCTGTGATTGTGAAGAAAAAAGACTGATACTCTATATTTTGCTCCTGTGAATTATGAATTACATGTCAGCAGCAGCCTTATCATGATGAAATAGGTAATAACACTGAGTTTCTCCACCCTCCCTTCAAAGCCTTCAAAAATAAGTGGGAATTATTGAGACAAAATAAATAACAAACAAAAATAAGCAATAACAAAGGAGTCAGGAAAAAAATCAGATCTATTAGATGCTATCCTTCTCTTCCCCTCATGCTAAATTCTCATTGAAATAACTATAAGGATATACAAATTGAAAAGAATATTCAGTATCATTAGAATGGATGCTAACTACTGAGCAGAAGAGAAAAAATAGTTTTGCTTAGGTATAGTACTGATGGAAAGGGAAAAAGGAAATCACCAAAAGAAAACAAGCAATCATTTCCTTTTCTATCTCCTCTATCTCCAGATGGCAACACAATTGGAAAAGCATTTGGGATTTCAGTAAGCCCCTAATTCAAAAAGGCAAGACATAAAACTTCTCTTCCCTTCAACTTTAGCCCTCTCTTTTCTATAGATCAGCACCTTCAAAAGGACACTTGCAAGGATTGTGTTTTTTATAAAGCTAAAAGAAAAGGTAATAATTTGAGAACAACTTATTTAGTGTAAGTAAAAATGACTATCAAAATGAAAGCCATTTTTAAAGGCATTTAACAGCAAATTAGAAACCGTGGGAACAAAATAGGAGGTAGAAAACAGATTTCAGGAAATCTCCCATAACATGAAAAATTCTCACATCCTAAATATAAGAGGAGTTTCTGAAAAGAAAAGTAAATAAATAATTTAGAAAGAAATAATTACTAACTACTGTTAAAGACACAAAACTGATTTTAAAAATTCAAATACAAAACTGACAATATGGCTTGGCACCTATGGCGCAGTGAGTAGGGCGTCATCCACATAACCTAGGCTGGCAGGTTTGAGACCAGCTCAGGCCTGCTAAACAACAATGACAGCTGCAACCAAAAAAACAGCTGGGCATTGTGGCAGGCATCTGTAGTCCCAGCTACTTGGGAGGCTGAGGCAAGAGAATTGCTTAAGCCCAAGAGTTTCAGGTTGCTGTGAGGTGTGACTCCACAGCACTGTACCCAGGGTGACATAGTGAGACTCTGTCTCAAAAAAAAAAAAAAAAGAAAAAGAAAAAGAAAAAGAAAAAGAAAACGACAATATGTGTCTTGTTCCAGATTAGGTGAATGAAAGCCCCACATATAAATCAACATGAATTTTTAATTCTTCATGTATAATGTAAGAATTATTCAAGTATCTATAAATAAATCATATACAATAGAACCTTCATACTTGAACATCTCCCTACATTGACCACCACAAGCTGACATAATTTTCATAGACTGGACATGTATTATATGTACATATCAGCACAACAGACCTAGTTTCTTATATTGACCAGCTCCATATATTGATAAGTTTGTTACAGTCCCTTGAGTGGTCAATTTATAGAAGTTTTACTGTAGGCAGCACTGGTAGCTCAGTGGGTAAGGTGCCAATCACATACATCCAGGCTGGTAGGTTTGAACTCAGCCCAGGCCAGCTAAAACAGCAATGACAACTGCAACAACAACAAAAAAAA